TTGTACAGCAATTAACCACTAAGAAGAATATATGCAGTGTATTATTTGTTGAAACTGTCCTTCCGATTTGATTTGAAACTGTCTCATTGCTATCTCTTTGTCAATAAAACTTTGAGAAAAAAAAAAAAAAAAAGATGGCAGAGGGCTGCCAAGCCACAGGCACTGGTGCCTGCATGCACACAGGGGCTCCCACGAGCCCCTTACCGCCTGCACACTCACAAGTTCGGTCACTGAGTTGAACCTTGTGGAGGTCCCAAAGCCCCAGGGACCCCGGAGGGAGAAACAAGGAGTGTGGGAAAGCCCAAGGCGAGGGCAGGTCTGCCTGCCTGGGGCCACGAGGAGGTGAGACTGGAATAAAGAAAGGCGGCTTTGCTGAAGTCTTGCGGCTCATTGATCAGTTTGGCTCCAAAGATGCAGAAGCTGGGCCCAGGGAGGGGTCTTAGGAAAGATGGCCCTAGGGCACCCAGCAGAACTGTCTGCTAGTGAGGGGCCTTACAGGCAGGCTTTCCTTCAAAGCAGAGTCATGGGGTGGGGGTGGGGGGAAAGGAGAAGAAAAAGAAACAACAAAAATCACAAGCCCATAAAGCATTTGTCAGGGAAATTCTCAGTATTGGCAAGGGTGCAGTAAGAAGCCTACCTGCTGCCGCCATCAGTATAAACTGTGGCTGATTTCTAAAAGGCAGTCTGGCAAGTCATCACCCAGTCCTTACAAGCATGCGCACCTTTAACTCGGAATGCTGCTTCTAGAAATTCACACCAAGGAAATACTCATGAATCTGCATCAAGATTTATGAACAAAGATGTGCATCCCAGCACTATTTATTACAGCAAAAGGCTGGAAACAACCTGTTTCTCCAACAATAAAAGGGTTGCTTAAATAAATTATAGGATATCTATATGACAGAAAATGATGCAGCCATTAAAATATTTGCAGAAAGATATTAAATGACAGGGAGAAAACGCATGGCAGATCATTAAGTGAGAAAAGAAGCAATTTACAGAAAAGTCTGTATGGGTTGGTAATAATTTGGGGGAAAAGATGTCTGAAGCAGAAAAGCTAGCCATCAAAATTTAGGAGTGGTAAATTCTGGGTGATATCGTGATTGGTATTTGCTTCCTTCCATGAGCCTTTGAAAGTGCGAACTTTCAAAAATTTCAACAAGAGTCACATTTTTACGGTGGGAAAGCCCAACGTCATGGGCAGGAAGTCATGGAGGAACCCTGGGAAAAGAGCGGAAAGCCAACGCTCCCACCAGACCCGCGACTCCAGGTACTACCTCCTTTCTGCAAGGGGAAAAGAGGGGTTCAACTACGTACACTGCTGAAACTCTCTCCCTAGTCCCCCCTTTCCCTTTCAGCCCTTGGGACCTAGCAAAACTTTTCCATCCTTAATAACTCCATTGATGATAGACATAAGAGAAGATAGAGAAAAAGGAAGAAAAGAGACAAAAACAATGCCTCTGAGGTATGTGGGGGGATGGCTGGGTATGACTGCATTGAGTGTATGTGCAGACAGATGTGGCTTTCGTGCTATGGGAAATTACTATAGCAACAGGCTGAAGGGACAGCTGTCTATACTGACAGAATTCTTCTAGGTCACTTACTAACTCTCAGACAAAAACTAGCGGAGAAGCGAAAGACGGAAGGAAGGAGGAAGGGAGGGAGAGGAAGAGACAATCACACGAGTGTCTGCCATGCTCCTCACAGCTTGGCAGAGGCTAACCAGGGCCCTTTTGCCCCCAGTGGAAGATGGCAGGCAGTGTTTAAATATGCAATCAGAATGGCATTAGGAGAAGCCAATATGCCTGAGAGGTTGAGAGAGCTGCCAAGGAGCCAGAGAGGTTACAAGAACAGCTTGCTCTCTCTGGGGCAGCATATCTAGCCCAGCCGCCAGCCCAGCCATTTCCCCACTTCCCAGCTGTCTCCAGGGTTTTTTCCAGAGGTGTAGCCAGCACTCTCACTCTCTCTTCAACTCCACAACCCTCTGCTCCCTGCCAGGCTCCACTCAGCATTCTAGTTTGGAAGGGTATACACCCAGACTCCAGGCAGAGCCTATCCCTGCCCCTGGAGCACTGGAGAAATCGCCTGACTTGCCAGTGGAGAGCTGCTCAGGCACACCACTTCTCACAGGGCTGGCCTTGGACAAATCTGCCCATCTCCCAGAGCCTCGGTTTGTTCATCCATAGAATGCAGAGAGCGTCCCTACTTCTCATCATCACTGAAAGGAATATTTCAGGAAATAACAAAGAAGCACTTTGTAAATGGCTGAACACAGCACGGGGATGGATTAAGGACAGGGCTGACAGAAACACACACTGGTGTGAGAGTCCTGGTTGAAATATAAGCAGCTACTACTGGGAATTTTCCCAGAGGATCTGAAAACATCATATCATAGGGATATATGTGTTCCTATGTTTATAGCAGCACAATTTGTGATAGCCAAATCTTAGAAACAACCAAGATGCCCATCACCCGAGGAATGGCTGAAAAAGATGTGGTATTTTTATACAATGGAGTATTATTCAGCTATTAAGAATGATAAACTGCAAGCCTTTATATTGAAGAGGATGCCACTTGAACATATACTCATAAGTGAAATAAACCAGACACACATGTGTAAATATCGTATAGTCTCCCTAGTATAAGAACTCAAAAGAAG